TAGGTGTTACAGGAGAGTAACAAACACAAAAAAGAAAGAGATAAGGATGACAGACGCGTGAGAGGAAAGAAGGAGCAAACCACATCATAGCACCCGTCATTCACCCGCACATAAATAATTGTCTTCGTTATTAAATACTTTATAGCTGTCATCGATGGGTACACGTGGAGTCATCACATTCCTCGACAATGAAACCATTAAAATGTAATACGATAGTCACCCACTCCCTAAAACCCCCCCAACCCAAACAACCTTAGTCAACCAAAATCGGCCCACTTTCAAAATCAGCCATGAAGGCGCCTATCAATATTGTACTATGGGCGTGGACGTGCGATCATTTTAACAGACGGCCCCATTCGTGTTCTTCCTGGCTCACGCGCCCGGAACAAAAAGTAGTGCTTAAAAGTGCCATCCGCGCGTGAAAAAACCCCGCTGGTAGTCTCGTAATGCATGCACATGTTTAGAGGGATGGAAATTCCTCATGCAAAAAAACGCGGCACGGTACAGCACGACACTACAGTTGTACACATGAATAATTAATCGGAGCCGGCGTAAAGTTAGGAAAAGACAAGGAGCGGTGAGCCCCCCCCCCCCAACGGGACGGGCACAACCAGGTGTGCCACAGAAGTGATTAAACGGGGTGAACACTCGTCTAGCTCTAGTTGGATCTGCCTGATCGGATCGGGTTTAAAAAATAGGAGTAGCCAGAGAACAGGTATACTTTTAATAATTTAAAAGTTTTACGGCACTTGCAACACAATAAGGTCATATTAAGTGCCGAAGATTAGAGGTGTTACAAGAGTGTAACAAACAAAAAAAGAAGGAGGGGAGACAGAGACGATATATGTTTTAAAACAAAGAAGAAGCAAACCACACCAGAGCACCCGCCAACCACCCACAAGAACAGGTTTAGGACAGAAAGAACATGAATACATTTTGACATGAGACACGGGTGGGAGGATAACAAGCAACCCCCCCCCCAAAAAAAAAAAGAAACCCACCCAAAAAACAACAAACAAACAAACCTAACAACAACAAACAATAAAAAAAACCCATCCCAACTTTTTGGTTTTTCAAATCAATTAGTCATAAAATTCGTTTTCATTACAGTGGCTTTGTCACATAAGATCAAATAACGGGCAAATGGTTACTATTTATCATCATCTAACATTCCTGTGTTGAACACTGAAACTATCCAAGAACTAGGGAAATACTGTAATCAATATTACTATTATTGACGACAAAAATACCCCCCCCCCCAAACCACACGACACCTACACTGTAGTAGGTTTCCAGGGTATGCGTGCAACGCCCATATCAACAGTGTAAGTTCATATAAGAGGTGGGGTCCGCCTAAAAAAATCCAAACTAATAATCTTTACAGGGGTGTTAAAATTAATTTACTTGAGGGGGGACCTTCGAATTAAGTATACGTATCAAATGTCCTAATCCTCCATTTCCATATATACATAGTACAAGTATCATCCATTATCATCATCATCATCACAGTTATCATTTCTTTCAGCTTTCATCATATTTTTTTTTCAAATCACCTTTTCCTTATTTAAAAAAAAATTATCGCCATGTTATCTTTAGTGCTGATACTTAATATTATCATTATTATACAAAAGGAGTGAGAGGAAAAGCAAGTATGAGGCCAATATAATCTATTGACATCTGAAGTTCATAAAAGTAGCACCAGATAACAGATAAAAAGGACAAGGGGGGGGGGGGGGGAGACTGACGCAGAAACAGAAACCGCAAACAACGGAACGCAAGACCAGAGTATACAGAAAGTGCATGCGTGTGAGTGCATGTGTGTGTGAGTCTGCGTGTGTGTGTGTACCTTATGGGTATGTACTGTATGTGTGAATGTGGTTGAGGGGAACGGAGATCATTACTGCAAAAGGGGGCCCAGTCCCCTTAAATTAGGGGAAGAGAAGAGCCCTCATTTTAAAAACAGTAGTCCATCAAGCCTGTTAAACTGAACAGCAAGTACATGCAACAATAAAGCCCCAACGTAAGGAGGTCTAATGAGAGACGGGCACGATTTCTCAAGCAACAGCCCCTGAACTGAAACGTCATCAAAGAGGTCAGAAACACATCAGGGCTTTTCGTTATTCATATTTTTTTTTCTTCACGTATTTAGGAAGTTTGCCCTTGCAACATTTTAAAAACAATGTAAAGTTTGAACCCAATGCCATTGGACCCAATCTTTTCATGTATTTTACAAACCTGCTAGTTATAGAAGTTTAATGCCCCCCCCCCCCCCCCCCTTCCAAATCGACACAATTCAGATAATTTGTTTATAACGTGCCAGGTTAAACTGGACGAAACAAACAAACAACTAAACAAAGCTATGAAGTTTTAAGTTCCCACATTCACGCGTTCCAAGGGTAATGGGACGCAGTGTGTTTAAACAGGCGCGGGCTGTGCCAATGGAAAGCAAATGTAACACGGAAACCTCCCTCACTCGCAATTTGAGTTTGTCAACATTGACACTGAAACAGAACAAGCAATCACAGAGAACAAACTGCTCTTTGCTCAACGTAAAAGCGTGCTCAAGTCCATACGGAGAGGGACAAATGAAACCAAGAGTGAACTTTCTTTCTGTTTCTTTAAACAAAAACAAACTGTATCGGGCGTTGATATGCTTCACATATTTTTTCGAAACAGACTGGTCAAAGAAAGAAAGAAATTCATTTTTTAAAAAGAGACCAAACAAACTAAAAGAAAAAACCGAAACCAAAGAAAACAAAGCAAAAACTAAATCTGATAACAAGAATAAGAAGAATTGTTTGTTTGATTTTAAAAGAAGCACATCGACACAACAATAAGACAGACAAACAGTAACAACAGAGGGAAATTACAGAAGTAGCACCTTCCTTCCAGTGGCGTCCGCCAACCACCCACAAAGAGAAGAGGGAGAATACAATATTGAAAATTTCTTGGAAACAGGGCTGGTGGTATCAGAAAGCCCACGCATTTTTTGACTGAGTAGGTGTTATACGGCACGCATTGTTTCATAATAGTTGCATCAGTCTTCATGGTACTATAAAAACAAAGCTCAACTAGAAATGGAGGCAAGATCTGTGCTCGTAAAAAAAAACCGTAAATGAATTCTAGACATAAAGCAATTTAGTTTTAGTAAGAGTTTACGGCACTTGCAAAACAATAAGGGCATATAAGTGCGGAAGAATAAATTATGTGTTACAAGAGTAACATACGCCTAAAAAGAAGGAGGAGAGATACGGGCGACAGATGTTTGATAGGAAAGAAGGAGCAAACCACACCTGAGCACCCGGGGCCGCCAACCACCCACAGACATTATATATGATCAAATCAAAAGTTCCATAAGACACCTACTACCCCATTCCTTAAATAAGATGATTAGTCACCCGCCACTCTATCTTATAACTAAATAAGTAGGCGTAAATCCTAGGACAAACATTCCAAATGCGACAGACGGCGGACTAGAAAGCAATTATCCCACATTCTGCTCGATCCGAAAGTCTCAAACAATTACCGCCCAAGTTTCGTCTCGAAGCCACCCACACTTCTTCGTGGGGTTCGTCTGCACGACTCGCGCTGATTACTTCTTCCGGACATGCGCACGGGGCCCCAAACTAGAGATTCATGAGGTAAAGATCGTGTCACTTCCGTTCACCTCTCCGCTATCATGACCAGGTAGGTATTAAGCTATTGGATTCAGTCTTAGTAAGAGTCTTAGATCCACGGCACTTGCAGAACAATTAGGTCATATGCATGTATAAAATGCCGATGATGAGGTGTCACTACAGAGTAATATACAAAATAAAGAAGGGGGAAAGATCATGACGATATATGTTTGATAGGAAAGAAGAAGCAAACCACGCTAGAGTGCCTGCCAACCATCATTGGGCATTAAGCGATAATTAAACAAAATCCATTTCTAACCGAGACATTAAGAGATAATGAGCTGAATTTCGCTGAACAAAAAGTAAAAGACAATCTTTTGAAATGAAATAAAACTTTGTTCCAAAGATCAACAGGGACACATGTCTCCGTGGCCAGAGAGAGAGAGAAGGAGAGAGAGAGAGAGAGAGAGAGAGAGAGAGAGAGAGAGAGAGAGAGAGAGCAGACAGACTGGTGTCTAACACTAAAAAACAAAATACATAGCAGCTTCTGAAACGTCATGATATTTTTTCTTTGGTAATTTTGAAAGGTCAAGACGAGAACTATAAGAAACCCCCCCCCAAAACATACCGTTGTTAAGCGGGATAAAAAGGAAACAAGCTTTTCAAAAGTCGATTTTTTAAAAAGAATAAAACAAAACAAGTTGTTCTATCATGAGTGTGTTTAATAAAGCCCGGACCAAGTCAAAAGACGAGAGAAGTAACACAAGATACAATGTAGAGAAGATAAGACAGACGGGCTGGACAGAATGGAGGAGAAAAATCTTCGAGTCAAACGATAGATTTAAAAGTCCACGAGATAACGACAAAGAGAAGACAGACATACAGTTTTTGGTTTTAGGACAGGCAGACAATTTTTGATTTTAGGGAGAGTTTTACGGCACTTGCAACACGTACACACAAACATTTTATGCTTTTTAAAAAGTTAATTTTAAATTTGTTTTCATTTTTTTATGGGGGGTGGGGTGGGGTGGAGAGAAACTTTACGTCGCTTGTAACATAAATAGGTCGTATAAGTGCAGAAGGTGTTATTTGAGAATGATAGACAAAGAAAAGAAGGGAGATAAGGATGATAGGTATAAATGTTTAGTAGGAAGGAAGAATCAAACCCTATATAAATATCATATACATACGACTCGTATATAAACAGGAACAACAGAAATATGGTAAAGAAGTTACAACAGGCGTCAAACAACCTCCCACGAAGAAGAAAAAGAGGAAACAAAGACTTCGGGGATCAGTCGCCCACACGAAAACACGCTTACAAAAATGATACATCCTTGAAGAATTCCCATTTCCTGCCAGCTCGATCACTAAGATGCTCACCTGTCGAGGGTTCTGTTTCCGCTCACGACTGGCAAGTTTTTCCCTCCCCCCAGACATGACGAATTGGGAGTTCTGGTGCATGCAGAGGACGGGGCATTCTTCCTTCACAGCCTCGAAACCACCTGGTGAAACAAAGGACAAATGACATTTGTATAAAAACATATAGATGTGTGTGTGTGTGTGTGTGTGTGTGTGTGTGTGTGTGAGAGAGAGAGAGAGAGAGAGAGAGAGAGAGAGAGAGAGAGAGAGAGAGAGAGAGAGAGAGAGAATGAGGGAAAGAAAGGAGAGAGAAGACAGACATACAGACATCTTAAGCTGTTTCGGACGTAGTAAAGTAAGACAAAGGAAAGTATAAAAGTATAATTTGTCAAATGAGGTTAACGTCCTTTGGGACAAAGAACTTATAGGTATATGTAAACTCTCCTCTCACTTCTCTCCCCCCCCCCCCCCCCCTCTCTCTCTCTCTCTATTGCTTTCTTTCAAAATATTGTAAGAATGTAAGTTATCCATCGAAAGCACATAAATACATGTGTACAGTTGTAACATGTAGCATCTCCATAGTAATGATTTGTCAAATGTAAGAATTATTTCGTAACATCAACATTGACATTATTCCAATCTTTGAGGAGACCGTGGCGATGTAGACACAGGGTGCTTGATTTGGGAGTTTCGGGCAACTCCCACTGAGCCGATGGGGTACAATAATATGGAGTATATTGTTCCCTCTCGACTCGGGTATGAGGATGCAGTATCGGGATCTCCGCGAGGTTTAATACGACCCGGGAAGGAAACATTGTGGCAAATCATTAGGGATTAAAACATGGCTACTGTATTTTTTTAAATCTTTGACCCGCTTGTCAGCTTGTAACCTAAAACCCGCTTATGAAGGCCAGAACAAGCCCCTGCACTGCCTACCTCTACTTGGGTCCTCCCTTAACTTGTCTTGGCCCGATAGAATAGGCTAGCACTAACAAGATCACATTAGCAGAGACTTTAGTTTTAGCAACAGTTTAATTTTATGGCGCTCGCAACTGCATAAGGTCATATGAGCGCACGAAGATTAGAGGTTTTACAAGAGAATAACAAACACAAAAAAGGAGAAGGAAGGACGACAGTTTTTGAAAGGAGAGAAGGAGCAGACCACGTCAGAGCACCCGCCAACCTCCCACTCAGCAGAGACTGTGCCAACCATTTCCGAACTTTTCGGTGACATCAAAGATGGTTCCAGTAGGGAACAGGATAGAGGGTGCCCACGTCCCTCGAGACTCACTGGAGCAGAGGAAGGTTGGAGCGCCGCCAACGTCCAAAACACCCAGCTGACAGTGTGTGTCCTCTCAATAATTATTCACATAAACACCATCTCCCAACATCAGGAACTACCACCATCATATTTTAAGTGATCTTTGTTTGCTCTCAGCTTCTTGAATCTCTACCTACAAAAGTTTTGTCGTCATCTATGTCAGTACATTTCGATCTCTAAAGCCTTGATTGTAATTGCTGACATTATTAACGTGCTCATTGCGTGTTTTCAATAAGTAGGGCAATTGAACACTTAATGAAAAGTGAAAAATCTCGGATATTCCAACTGGAAAGTAGGGTGCCAATTTGATAAAAATGGGAAAATGAGCATGGGACAAAAAAAAAGTATGCAACCTCTTTACGGGTCTAACACTTAACTAGAGACATAGTATTAGAAATGTAAGAGACAGAATGGTAGAATCTTTACGAAAAGAACAGTCGTGTATTCTTTCGTAAAGGTTGTTACCAGAAACAAACAGGTGTAACACTTGGTATGGCGGTTGGAGTTTAAAAGGATGGAGAAGGAAGGCGGTAGGGGGAGGAAGTGAAAGAGGATACACCAAAGTAAACATTACACAATGGCATGGACATTCTCAACATAAATGTTTACGCCTGTTATTAAACCGCTGGAGGCGTTGCACTTCCTTTTGGTGAGTAGTGGGGGAACAAAGACATCCATCCCCCGCCCCAGAAAAAGACCACGGTGTCAGATGAGGGGAGGGGAGAGAATTCTTCCTTTTGGAGTGTGGAAAAACAATATAAAACTTACACAAATTTATATAAGACAGACCAACTCAGGAATTTGGCTTGTCTGTAGAGAAGCACATAGGCACCATAATGATCTTTAAGTGCTGGGGAAAAGGAAGACAGACAAACAGAAACAACACACGGAAAGAAAAGAAGTAAGACCTTCCAGTTGTGCCCTCAATCACCCACTGAGAAATAGGCTAAAAATAACAACCTCATTGCAAAAAACGGTATATATACATATATGTTTAACGCCACTATCAACACTCAGATACTTAAGAGGAAGTAATCTTTATGCGAATATAAGAAAATGAACATAACCCGTAAAATGTGTCAGGTGTCAAGACAGAGTTTTAAAAGGGCGCAGTTATGCCAGATGCTACCAAATAGTGCCAATGGACCAAAATAAAGCACGGTAAACTATACTTCAAAATACTTAGAACCGAGTGAAAAGAAAGCCTTTCACTGCTACTGCTAGCCAGGGGCACAGACTAACGTTAATCAATTAGACTTTATAGAGCGATTTACTGCCATCTACTTTTCACATCAGCCCACGCCTTCCTGTACAGCGGCGTCAAGCATGACCAACCTAAAAGTTAAACTATGCCATCAAAAGTTCAAGACAACAAAGAATAATCAAAAAGACGGAAAAAAACCACCCCATTCTTGGTGCCTCCACTATTCATCCGCCTTTACTTGAATAGAAAACAAAAGTTTAGCTGGAACCGCGTACAAGTTTAGCTGAGTAACAATATTCTTCTTTCACAGACACTGATACAATGGGAAAGGAAATAAGCAATCATCAAACAAAACAGTGCGACCATTCTCATCAAAACACCATTACCATCTGTCAAGTTTATGAACCATCATAAAGTAACCATTCTCAACAACATATACACTGAAAAATATCATCTGCATTTTGTAAGATATGGTTTAAATGCCCCTTTCCCTATTGGAGAGCAGAAACTCTGAATCCATATTGTCCGTCTCCAATAGGACCGAGACGATTGCTTGATTTTGAGTAAAGAGAAGCACACCGACACAATGATGGTAATTGGGTGGTGAGGAAAAAAGCAGGACATACAGACAGACAGAAACTACAGAAGGAAAGTAAAGAAGTAGTACCTCTACCAGTGGCGCCCGCTAACCACCCAAGGACCGAGACAAGGAGATAAATAACTTTGAAAAACAAACAAACCTCCCTATCCAAGCTTAGTTCAAGTTTTGAAAATACCCCTTTAGAAATTTAAACCCCAATCACCTGTACCATAGCAGAGTACCAACGCCTATTGTATAGACCAAAAATTATAAATACCAGTCTCTGGTATAGAAATCGTAGGCGTTGCCCAGTTCGATACCGGCTGAGGTAACAACGCACCCACTATCACTGTTGTCTGGCACTAATATGTGTTCATAATATAACACGTCTGTGATCCACTAACACACGAGCAACCACACCCCTGTAAGCACACCACACCTGACATAAGGGGAATGTTTACGAGCATCCATGCCCCGTCTCTTTCTTTCTTTCCCCCATTTTCTTTTTCCAGATGAGGTGTGGCGTCTACCAGCGAAACGACGAATTCCGTGTCCATTGGGGTGTGACTTCATCAAAGAAAAAGAGGTGCAAGCGGAAGATGTAGCTATTTTAAAACTCCTACTTGACTGAACACTTCGGGCACAAACCCGGAGTGGCTATAAAAAGAAGACACAGTCCAATTTTAAATTTAAAATGTTTAGATGTTTTAAGTTCCAGGCACTTGTTGGTGAATAAGTAATCACCGTTGAAATGGTCAAAACACCCACATACTGTCAGCTCTTCTTTGCAATCAAAGGGAACAAAATTGAAGGCAAAAATTTTAATGAATACGCCAACAGATGGATGTTTTGAAGAAAGAAGATACAATACAGGTAAATGGATGACTGTACGATCTGTGGTGAAGGAAAGAATAAAAGCCAAAATTTAACGATTTTTGGCTGAAACACTTTAAAGAACGCCGAGAAATCAATCAAGGTGGAAATTCCACAAATTCTTTCAGGGTTCAGTTTGCAAAACAAAATGTCTGGTAGTCTGGTGTTTCAAAGGTAAAGTATGCAGAACAAATGCACCCCCCCCCCCCACACACATACAAACATAAAAAATAAAGAAACAAAACAAAAACTCGACAGGAAGAAGAAATGAGAAGTTTCGTACTGTCTCCTTAAGTTGGAGTAAAGTCATCGACATAATAACGATCATTGTATGCAGGAAAAGAAAGCAAGGTTGGAGGAAAAACAAAAGAAAAATAAGTAGAACCTACGCAATTAACTTGACTAAAATGTGCGAGGCACTACAAACAGACTTAAAATTGTCGCCGTATTTATCGATTCCTGCCGGCATAAAAGAATGAAGCACAAAATTTTAACCCCCCCCCCCTCCCTCGACAGAATTAATCTTGTATAGCAGAGACAAAACACCAATTCCTATTGCTCTCCGCCTTTTTAGGTACCCCCTCCCCCCCCCTCTTTCTCTCAAACCCTCTTGCACTGCAATGACCATGACAATGGAACAAAATTATCACCAGCAATTACACATGTACATGAAGTTCTTGAACACACTGGCTTCTTTTTCATTAAAAAAATTACACTCTGCTTTCCATCATTATCTGGTCAGAACCCCCCCCCAGTTCGTTAGAGTTAGTGTAGCCGCATCCGATTCGTCTCAATTTCTTTAGTTCAGTTTTTGTCGTTTAAAGAACTATTGGGGGGGGGGGGGGGGGTACAGGTTAAGTTGCAAAAGAGAAAAGCATTACGCATGATCAAACGGTTCTGGTGAAGAAGATTCGTGAACAAATTACTGCAAGCTGTGTCTTCCTGGGCTCGAAAAGCACGCACCCCCAGTACATTGTATCTTTCTTTTTTAATTTTTTGAGGCGCCACAAACCTGAAATTCTGAGGTATGTAGATGAAGTTTCCAGTAACGTAGCTTTAAAAACTATTGGCTTATACAATGGTACAGTTTGGTGTACAGTAGTGAAATTAAATATCAATGGATTTACTGGTAAAGACAGATCGGCGGATAAATAAATATAGTATTATATAGAGACACTATAAAAATAGGCTAGTCAGACGTAGGCAGTAGATGGATTGATAAGTGAAAAACACCAAGGCATATATATATAAATAAATAAATGGAGACAGTTCATTTTGAAAGGAACAGGAGTAACTATTGAAGGCAGACAGGCTAAGTAAAGGAAAAAATGTTCGATGATGTAGGATGTACTGAGGCAGGCGCATGGTCTTTCGTTTTCAGTTCCTTTCCAAAATTTATCGAGGAACCCGAGTGTTACTGAACCTTAGACGAATTGCTATTGTAATTCTAGATAATTAACGTCCCCATCGACACTACCTATATCATCCCGGATGCGGGCTGCTTCGGCCCACCCCCTCGCGACCAACCCGGGCTGAGGAGAGGGATACAACGTCCCAGTAGACAAACGGAGATCCTCGATAAAAATGAATTACTTCCATGCAGGCATCGAACTCACATTGTCTGTGTGTGACGGCTTACACTACAGACGTCGGTACAAGGGATTAGAATGATCAATGGACATCAAGGACGTTACCTCTCGTCATATGTCACAGGAGATATTATTTGTGGTAACTCACAATTGTCTTGTTAAATTTGCGTAGGTTCGAAGTACTTGTTCCCAGCTATTGTTTAAACTTCAAAGTCGTGATATTTATTTTCAAACAAGCAGAAATCTATTTCCCCCCAAAGCGAATCACGTTTTCGTGAGTCGAGATACAATTAATAATTATCAACCAGTTCTTAAAAATAGGACCCCCCCCTCCCCTTTCCTCCAAAACACCGACAAGCCCAAGGATGAACTTAAGCAGAACAGAAGCGTAGACGTAAGTCAATGGGCATTACCTCGGCTATGAAAGGCAAATAAACAACACTATTAAAGAAAAGATGTAATATTAATTGATGCGATTACAACATGCACGCAGCTACATAGTAGCATAAAAAATTAACCTTCTAATCCCCCCCCCCCCCCTTCCAACAATAAACCAACACATTCCCAGACACCGTGATCAAAAAGCACGGAGGCGATATAATGCTGTAACACAAGCTCTTTAGGGGGGATTAAGTAACAACTTTCCCTAATACGATGTTATTACAGTAATTACAGGTACATGTACATACGTGTGCTGTCATGACTCTCGGAATTTAATTTGATTAAAGAAGCATGAAGAGAAGCCTTGATAACAAACTTGTTACAAGAGTTGATAGAACATTCCAATAAAAAAAGAAAAGAAGGACAAACAACAC